TAAGATGTAAAGGATAAGAAAGAACTAACCAAGCACAGTGCAGCAAGAAGTCAGGGTGGGCATTTCAGACTAAAGAAACAAAACATGCAATGGCTCTCAGGTGGGAAATAATTTTGCCTGTTCCAATGAGTTCAAACACCAGTGTGGCTGGAGCATAGTAGGCAAAGGGAGGAATGGCAGGAATGAGTTAGGGAAGAGCCAGAGCTGGCAGGGCAAAGGCCATGGTGGATATTTGAATTTTAATCTAAGTGCTAAAGTGAACACAGTCATTGGGAGAGTCTAAGAAAGGGAGTGACATGATTCCATTTATTTTCAAAAGATTTTTCTTTTTGTTGTGTGAAAAATGGATGGGACGAGGGCCACAAGAATGCAAAGATCACAGTTGCCGGAACTGACTTCATTTCAGACCAAATGATCCAGTTTCTCTTGCCATTCGGTCCAGGGCACACTATCTTCTAAGAGACAGTTGCTATTAAATGTATCATGTTTCTCATCCTTGTTTCCATAAAGCAACACCAAGAGCATAAAGTTTCTTGAAATCCCAAGAATTCTGAGATAGGCATTATTAATATGCCTATTTTATAAGGAATAAGCTGAGGTTTAGAGAATTAGGTAATTTGCTGAAGTCATGCACCTGGCAAAAACCTGTTCCTTTGTGATTTTGATGGAGGGACCTTCAGCATTTGAAGAAAACAGTATAACTACTACTCTATAGAAAACAGCTACTATATTCTATCATGGAATTAGGAGAGAAAGTTTGGGAAAAACAGGACATATGCTGATGAATGCAAGGCCACCACTCAAAGGGGTAAAGACAGAAAAAATACAACTTTTTTCTTTTTTTTTTTTGAGGTAGGGTCTTGCTGTCATCAGGCTGGAGTGCAGTGGCACAGTTATAGCTCACTGCAGCCTTGAATTCCTGGGCAATCCTCCCTACATCAGCCTCCCTAGTAGCTGAGACTATAGATGCATGCTACCACTCTGGGCTAATGTTTTAATTTTTTTTTTTTTTTTTTTTTTTTTGAGACGGAGTCTCACTCTGTCGCCCAGGCTGGAGTGCAGTGGCACAATCTCAGCTCACTGCAAGCTCCGCCTCCTGGGTTCACCCCATTCTCCTGCCTCAGCCTCCCAAGTAGCTGAGACTACAGGTGCCCACCACCAGGCCCGGCTAATTTTTTGTGTGTTTTTTTAGTACAGACGGGGTTTCACTGTGTTAGCCAGGATGGTCTCGATCTCCTGACCTCGTGATCCGCCCACCTCGGCCTCCCGAAGTGCTGGGTCTTGATAGGTTGCCCAGGATGGTCTCGAACTCCTGGGCTCAAGCAATCCTCCTGCCTCAGCCTCCCAAAGTGCTCAGATTACAGGTGTGAACCACTGCACCCTGCCCAAATAATTCTTCAGTTGTGAAAAATACTCAATTCTAGCCAATACAAATGTGTGTGTGTGTGTATATATATATATATTTTTTTTTTTTTTTTTTGAGACGGAGTCTCGCTCGTCGCCCAGGCTGGAGTGCAGTAGCACGATCTCGGCTCACTGCAAGCTCCGCCTCCTGGGTTCACGCCATTCTCCTGCCTCAGCCTCCCGAGTAGCTGGGACTACAGGCACCCGCCACCACGCCTGGCTAATTTTTTGTATTTTTATAGAGATGGGGTTTCACCATGTTAACCAGGATGGTCTCAATCTCCTGACCTCGTGATCTGCCCGCCTCGGCCTCCCAAAGTGCTGGGATTACAGGCATGAGCCACCGTGCCCGGCCCAGATGAATATATTTTTTATCATTATAGTGTATAAAAAAGTCAATATCCTTTTTTTCATTTAGTGGTGACACATATATTGAGATAATAAGGGAAACTACAGCCTAATAAATAAACTGCTCTTGTTCTTTCAGTGATTTTTAGGATTAAATCTGTTCATCAATATCACCAAACTGAGTAGAAAGCATCCATCTAGAAATTCCTTAATCAATCTAAAAATTTCTTATTCTAAGTAAGCAGAAATAAAAATAATTATGAATCTACAGTTAGAATAGCCTAATCTTGAGATTTTCCCTATTATCCCCACCAGCTCAGTGCCAGCAGGTTAAAAACCAGGAGCTACATATGGATTCCTAAAAAACACAAATCATCCTTATACCTCGATTCCATCATCCCTTTACCAACCAAAAGAATGAAAAAGAACAGAAATGATGCCATCAGATCTTAGATAGGAGTCTCTATCCTTATCAACAAAACTACATATATATGTCTATAAATAGACATATATAAATATACACACACACACACACACATATATGAGATTGCAAATAGCAGAGGCTTAGATTCAGATAATTCCTGCCAATGTCTCATCAGCAGCTCCTTAAATACAGGATCCCTACACTAGAGCCACTAGCCCTACTGATGACTACGTCAGTTAAAAACATAAGTCTACAGAAGCCTAGGAGAGATCCTGCAGGGTTTCAGAAGACAGAAACAAGAGCACTTTTCCAATACCACCATTGCTTTGACAAAGCAAAAGTCAAGAGAAACTCCCTTTCCTACCTCAACAGCTCTATTTGGCACCAAATTTCTGGAGCAAGAGCACACTTACGCGCTGGGACCTGAAGGCTGCCATCTGCTCTACTCTGTACAAATGGGCCATCTCCTGGCAAGACTGTAATGATGCCTCATGTGATGAATAAAACTTAGGCATTGCTCCCAGGCTAAAGTACCAAAAGAGACGAGATGGAGGGGCTCAGACAGAGCTTTACATAAGGTAAAACAGTGGGGCTTCTGTCTCTCAGGTATATAATTTCATACCGATTCTAGGTAAGATATTTCCTCTTATTCCCTAGGATGAGGTTAAAGACATACTAAGGGGCTAGGCACAGTGGCTTACGCCTGTAATCCCAGCACTTTGGGAGGCCGAGGTGGGCGGACTACCTGAGGTCAGGAGTTCAGAAACCCCATCTCTACCAAAAATACCAAAATTAGCCGGACATGGTGGTGGGTGCCTGTAATCCCAGCTACTTGAGAGGTTGAGGCAGGAGAATAGCTTGAACCCGGGAGGCTGGTCTCATGAGGCTGCAGTGAGCCAAGACTGTGCCATTGCACTCCAGCCTGGGCAACAAGAGCGAAACTCCGTCTCAAAAAAAACAAAAAAACAATAAAACAGACATACCAGGGAACTATCCACAGGAGAGAAGAGTTTGTACACACAGCAGGGATTTACACACTGTTCTAAGTCATAAGCTCATTTTCCTTTGCCAGCAAATGTCCTAGGACTATCAACTTGGAACAGAAGTCTTGTTGAATATGTGCTAACAGTTCATTGGAGCACTTCTTTTAGAAAGCACTCCACTATTCCTAGTTTGCATCTGTTCTCCCTGTGGATATATAAGGGCTAGATCACCTTTGCTGGGAGAGAACACAAGTTCCCCCAAGGTCTCACGGAGACTAATAGAGAACAAACTCAGATTTACCTATGCAACACTCTAATGTCCGATAACCTCTTCTTGCTCCCACTGAACTGAATAGCATTGCACAGAAATGCCAGTTGAAATACAATACTAGTTGGGCAGTTATTACAGTCAGTATGCAGGGGACCAAAATAAGATACTTCTAGAGCCAGAAAGTATGATTATAAACAGAATAGAAATTTAGGACACAAATATATAAAACACATTAACAAAAAAGAGAGTGGTATTCATTTTGTAGTCACCAAATATTTACTAAATTATCTACTGCATTCTAGGTACCATACTAGATGATTAAAAATACAAACAGATGCAGTCTAAGCCCTCAGGGAACAGACAATCCAGTGAGGAAGAACAACAATGAACAAGTAAATGACAACCATGATTATGAAAGAAAAACTAGAATGCTTTGAGAGTGTGTATCTAGGGAACATAATCTAGTTTTTGTTTCTGGTTTTGGTGGGGGTAGGAGAGCAAAGTATGCTATAAGGCTAAATAAAGGAAAGCTAAGAAAGTAAAAATATGTTACATGCATATTCTTGTGAGAAAATAAATACATAAAAATAAAAAAGCAAAAATGTCTATGTCTCCAGCACCAGCCAGACATAATTTTTAAATTTAGCTGACCCTCTTGTAAAGTATATCCCTACTGTGAAAAGATACACCAGATCCCAGAAAACTGATTATAATTGGCACTCCACATAATAAACCTTCCTACCTAAAAAGGATGTACTAATTATCTAAGACCAGTAAACAATTCACTCTGTAGCTGCAGTTCATATTATATAAATGAATGAATAGACATTCTGATCTGTAAATCAAGATTTTGTGAGACTGGCCAGTGAGCTAGTCTTTGGGGGACTGAGCAAGTCTAGGTGATAAGAATGGGTGCTAAAACTGACCTTTTGGAAAAATAAGGTTGATGATTTATCTTGGACTGTGTTCCATCAACGATCAGTCAGCCAGCCCATTTCTATTACGTTTCTCTGCTCTCTATAATTTCAATAAATACGATATCAGGAAGTGCTAGGGAATGGTTTAAAAATTTGCTAAGAAACTAATCTGGGCTAGGCGCAGTGGCTCATGTCTGTAATCCCAGCACTTTGGAAGGCTGAGGTGGGTGGATCACGAGGTCAGATCAAGACCATCCTGGCTAACACGGTGAAACCCTGTCTCCATTAAAAATACAAAAAATTAGCCAAGCGTGGTAGCACGCGCCTGTAATCTCAGCTACTCGGGAGGCTGAGGCAGGAGAACTGCTTGAACCCAGGAGGCAGAGGTTGCAGTGAGCTGAGATCGCACCACTGCACTCCAGCCTGGGCAACAGAGCGAGACTGTCTCAAAAAAAAAAAAAAAAAAAGAATCTGAGCACAGTGTAAACTCATAATTAATTGTTAAAGGGATGAAGGAACAATAAACTTAAAAGAGATGTATTGTTCCCTCTAAATCAAGTGCTGAGTTTCAAAGGAAACAGAGACTAGGACCAGTGAAACAGCCAAGTTTTTCAAAGAAGCCCATGTATGTGTGTAAAAACATATATACATACCTGCACTCAAAGCAATACCAGTGCCACGGTGGCAGATGGACATCGCCATGGGAAGAGACCAACTGTAAAGAAACACACCAAGACAATTTTAAAAAGGAAAAGATACCACCATAGTAGAGAGTCTATCTTTGCAAAAATATAAACTAATTCTGAAACAGGCACTTTTTTTTTTTTTCCTGGATACAGATTCTCACTCTGTTGCCCAGGCTGGCAGCGAGCGGCACGATCTCAGCTCACTGCAACCTCCGCCTCCCAGGTTCAAGCAATTCTCCTGAATAGGTAATATTTTCTTAAAAAAAAAACAGCTTTTGCGTTCCTGTCTTTTCATTTTTTTTTACCCTGGGAACAGTCTTGCTCTGTCGCCCAGGCTGGAGTGCTGTGCCACGATCTCAGCTCACTGCAACCTCTGCCTCCCAGGTTCAAGAGATTCTCCTGCCTCAGTCTCCTGAGTAGCTGGGATTACAGGCACCTGTCACCAGGTCCACCTAATTTTTGTATTTTTAGTAAAGAGGTTTCACCATCTTAGCCAGGCTGGTCTTGAACTCCTGACCTTGTGATCTGCCTGCCTCAGCCTCCCAAAGTACTGGAATTACAGGTGTGAGCCACCGTGCCCAGCCATGTTTCTACTTTTTACTTTAAAAATACAAATCTGGGCCAGGTGCGGTGGCTCACGCCTATAATCCCAGCACTTTGGGAGGCTGAGGCGAGTGGATCACCTGAGGTCAGGAGTTCGCAATTAGCCTGATGAACATGAAGAAACCCCATCTCTACTGAAAATACAAAATTAGCTGGGTGTGGTGATGCATGCCTGTAATCTCAGCTACTCGGGAGGCTGAGGCAGGAAAATCGCTTGAACCCAGGAGAAAAAACAAAAAACAAAACCCTGTATCAGGATTAGGTTAAAAAAAAAATAAAGAAAGAAGAAAACAGATTTACGGAGAAGGATCCCTACCTTTACCAGACTGCATCACTGATAGGGCTAAGGAAAAAAAAAATGATTATAACTCAAAACTCCTTTCCCAAGGAGAAACATGAGTCAAAGACACTCATTAAAGTTGGAGGTAGTGTAGTGGCTCACACCTGTAATCCTAGTACTTTGGGAGGCCAAGGCGGGGGGCGGGGGGGGGTGTTGAGTTCAGGAGTTCAAGACCAACCTAGGCAACATAACGAGACCCCCATCTTCACCAAAAAAAAAAAAAAATATATATATATATATATATCTGGGTGTGTTGGCAGAGGCCTGTGGTCCCAGCTACTTGGGAGACTGAAGTGAGAGGGTCACTTGAGGCCAGGAGCTCCAGGCTGCAGTGAGCTATGACTGTGCCACTGTACTCCAGTCCGGGGTGGGGAGAGAGAGACAGAGATCTTGCCTGCAAATAAATAAATACAGTTGGTACAATTAGAAAGTAATCACTATAGGCCGGGCGCAGTGGCTCACACCTGTAATCCCAGCACTTTGAGAGGCGAGGTGGGCAGATCGTGAGGTCAGGTGTTCAAGACCAGCCTGGCCAACACGGTGAAACCCTATCTCTACTAAAAATACAAAAATTAGCCAGGCGTGGTGGTGCATGCCTGTAATCCCAGCTACTCAGGAGGCTGAGGCAGAGAATTGCTTGAATCCAGGAGGCGGAGTTTGGCATAATTATGCCACTGCACTCCAGTCTGGGCGACAGAGCACGACTCCATCTCACAAAAAAAAAAAAAAAAGAAAAAAAAAAGAAAGTAATCACTGTAATACCAACTGGGTCCCTCTGTTTCTCCAGGTATAACACCTATGGAAGAAAACCTGAGTTTCATTTATCCACAGTTTCATATAATATATGGTCATCCTTGAATCCTCCCTTATTATATGCCCCAAAATATCCAAACTGAACATACCACTTATTTCCTAATAAATTACCTATCCCAAATGTTTATATCCAATCTTCTAGATTTAGTATATAGTTCTTAATCCACAGTAGTTCTGAAATACTTTTTGTCATCAAACCTCTTTTTAAATTATGAATCATCAACTTTCCACTGAAGGACAACCAACATTGTTATTCTAGACCTAGTTCTCATGCTCAAGAGAGAACTGGTGGGTAAAATGGAAAGAACAAGAATCTCTGAAGAAAGCTAACACTCACTTTGGAATGTTAGCTTAGACAAAGAATACTTAGCGTAATCAAACCATATCTTCAACACTTTAAAGAGAAATAAGGAGGTTAAAAAGATCTCAAAAGAAAATTCTGCCTACATAATGAAAATAGTCACAGTAAGAAAGGAGTATTTCCAAATAAATTAAAAATATTAATACTAGCTAGATACCACTCTGATCAACTCAGATTTAACAACAGAAATATAAAAGGTGGAAGAACAGCCACATAACCAAGGACAGAGAACGATGACATAATTTGGTAAGAAGAATCAGGAGACCGAAACCCAGAATGAGCTGAGGCTTGCAAAAATTTCAAGGATAACAAAAAAAAGCTTTTAAAATTGTATTCTGACACAGAGAGCCTACTAACTGGGATGAACAATTTTATGCTAATTGATGACAGAGTGTGAACAGATTGCACAACTATTTTATTTGTCAAAGAGAATGATTATCAGCATGAAAAAGACAGAACAAATATTGATTTGAAAGACTTGAAACCCTAAAGAGGTGAGGAAATTGGAAGATTCCAAACAAACTTGGGGCTCTGGGACCAGATGAATCAAATCCCTTGACTGAAAGAGCTAATAGAAGAAACATATGCACTGTTCTGGAAATGTTTCAGAAATACTGATACAGAAAATGGGAGTCATATAATATGAAACTGCTGAATTCAAATGTTACCCTAATTTTCAAAAACGGTTAAAATCATAGCCCGGCTAGCCCAGTAATGACAAGCTAAAATATTTTGTTTTCTAAAAATAACCACAACATTATTTCCAGTCCTCCATGATCTTCCAGAATCTTGTCATTTCTCATCAAGCAAGTATTTAGCCTCTACCCTTGAACCTGGGCAGGACTTGATGACCGACTGCCTCAAAAGTAGAATGCGGCAGAAGTGATGCTGCATGACTTACAAATTCTCCTTCCTTCCTCATGCTATGTGGAAACCCAAAGTAGCCTACACAGATATGTGAAAAGACCTATGTGGAGAGAAAATAAGGGCCCCATCCAACAGCCAGAATCAACCCAAGACATTTGAGTGACTGGATCTTCAGATTAATTCAGGCCCTAGCCTTTGTGTTTTCCAGCTGAGGCCTCAGGCATCATGGAGCAAAGACAAGTCTTCTTCACTAGTCCCTGTTTGAACATTAGCTAAGAGTCTAGTATAGAAAATCAAGATGTGGCCAGGCACAGTGGCTCATGCCTATAATCCTAGCACTTTGGGGGGCTGAGGTGGGCAGAATGCCTGAGCTCAGGAGTTTGAGACGTGGGCAAGACGGCAAAAAAAAAGTCAAAAAAACCATTTCTACAAAAAATACAAACATTAGCCGGGCGTGGTGGCATGTGTCTATAGTCTCAGCCACTTGGGGGGCTGAGGAGGGAGGACTGCCTGAGCCTGGGAGGTTGAGGCTGCAGCGAGCCGTGATTACGCCACTGCACTCCAGCCTGAGTAACAGAGGGAGACTCTGCCTCAAAAGCAAAAAAACAATAAAAAATACCTCCAGAAAGTAAAAACATTTCTCCAACACCCAAGACTGCCAATGGCCAATAAGTACATGAAAAGATGTTTAACATCACTAACTGTTTACTTCTAGGCCTCTTTCAAAAAACCCAAAAAATGGGTAATAGAAAATATGACTTCAGGTATCTCAGATATCTTTCCCTGACATGCCAATCTGGATATAGCCCTGTGTTCCCTGCTGCTATTTTTCCCCCAAGTATGTCTGGAGTTACATAACCAGAAAAGCAAATAAGGTAGTGAAAGACTCACCTCACCAACCTACAACCATTCTTTATATGACCTACGAAAAAAGGCCAGGGCTTTAAATACAGATTCAGAATAATCTGGGATGCTCTTTTGTCTTTTTCATTATAATTATTCCCCAAAACTTTTTTATTTTTTTTTGAAACAGAGCCTTGCTCTGTCGCCAGACTAGAGTGTAGTGGCGCGATCTCGGCTCACTGCAAACTCCACCTCCCAGGTTCAAGCGATTCTCCTGCCTCAGCCTCCCGAGTAGCTGGGAATACAAGTATGAGCCACCACCGCCAGCTAATTTTTGTATTTTTAGTAGAGACAGGGTTTCACCTGAGATCAGGATGGCCTTGATCTCTTGACCTTGTGATCCGCCCACCTTGGCCTCTCAAAGTGCTGGGATTACAGGCATTGAGCCACTGCATCAGGCCTTCCTAAAACTTTTATCTCTTAAAAAAGAAAGTTTCACGATTGAGCAGCAAGAAATGAGATCACTTATTAGCCTCCTTCTGTTTTAGTGGCAAGTCCAGTTTCTACAAACAGGATTATTCCTGGAATCTGGCTTGGAAAAAAACTGAAGGATTATGGTATTTGTGGAGGTGGTTAAAAAATGGGCAGACTCACTGGCAGGAACCCAAGAGAGTAGCAGAGCTCAAGATGCTTTGCTGGGTTAGCCTAAAAAAACAAAAAGCAGATTTACAGGGACTTATCTTCAAAGACATCAGCAAAAACCACTGTCAATGCCACTTTTGAAGATGAGATAAACAGAGATGTATGTATATATGTATGTATGATGTATGTATCTACTTATATATACACACATGTGGTATGTGTGTGACAGAGACTGCATACACATATATGCTATCTCTATCCACAGAGAGGGCCTAGAAGCAATGACATCCTAGTAGCAATGAGCACATCTAGCACCCAGACACTGATTTCCCAGGAGTCATTTTGAAGAACTCCTATTGGCCAGGTCTGGGACAATTTGAACACCAAAATAAATAATAACAAAGTATAATCCTTTGGGGAAATTAATGCTTGATCCATGTTATCCTTGAGTCCATACTGATAAAGAAAGCAAGCTTTACCCTATCGCAACAAATAAATCTAGAAAATATTATAATATATAAAATTAGTAACATTACATTTGGCAACTATCACAGTAATAA